GGGAAAAGAGCCAGTTTTCCCAAACCGGGGGGTCATGGCTATGATCCTGTTAGCGGAAGGTAAGGCAAGCATGTAAATATAACTAACGGCAGTGGCTCGCTCAAATTGACATCGGCGTCATTCTCGTACATGAATGTTGGGCGCCCTAGAAACAAACTGAAGATTCTGCACACGAATTAGCGCGCCACCGATTGGGCAACAACCTGCAAGACTAACTTGTCAGATAAGAAACAGCCCCAGTATATCCGGCGTCGAAACTCGTTATCGAAAGGGAATGGCGACTTCGAGTTCGGCCTGTCTTCTGAGCCCCAGTGAGTCGGTTCCCGTTGGAAGCCGATGTCTTGTCCCATTCTAAAAGCCATGCCTACCCTTGCGTAAGTGATCAAATAATACGGCAATGATACCATATCAGCCTACCAGCGAACATCCAGCCCCTCGAAATATTTCCTTGTCCGACTTCGTAATATCCACAGCAAAGCAAAGCCTGCACAGAGGTTGGTCTCGGGGCGCTAAGACCCTCAGTTGTCAGGATGCTTTGTGCCGTATCCGCGAAACCTTGCGCCCGGGACCTGATATCAGGATCCTTCGACATTAGAGCCCCGATTGCAGCTGCAGCGTAGATCAGAGGAGGAGAACAGAAGTCTCCGTCAATGGGATTGTCCTCAAATTCAGCTACAAAAGCCTCCCTGTCGATGAACATGAACAATGGATACTGCCAGTAGAAGAAAAGACCCAGGCACAAACGCATTGTCTGGTTGATCAGGTTGCTTCTGTCATCCTGGAAGGGTGACTTTTTTGAGTTGCCCGATGAGCTGCCACAAGTATCCCCGTAGTCGTTCTGGAAGATGCTGGTTGGACCGTGGTAGATCATAGAGCCTGAGCGGTTAGCTACCACGTTGCACTCACTGTCTTGGAATCTCACCATCTAAAGTCTCTTGCAAAGTCGCCTTGGTCAAAGCCTCACTCAACGCTGCTTCGTCTTCCAAGGGCAAGCTAGAGAAAGACGGCACGTAGTCTTTGATCTCAACTTCGTCCAAAATTTGGTTTCGTTCATCGTTGCTAGCTTCCTTGAGCCGAGCCAAGAAGCCCTCGAGCGAGGCGATGCGAGATTCCAGTGCCGCAACATACTCGCGCGACACCGGCGGCCGTTTGAAGTCGCTCTCCCGAAACTCGCACTTAGCCGAAGCTGCGGAGCAATTGGTGCATGGGAATATGCGGGAACACCGGATCTGAGCGCGGCGCCGTTGTCAGCCGGACGAGACTTCCACAATGCGGCGGTGGCCGACGGCCATCGGCGAAGACGGGGCGGGCGACATCGGAGGGACTCCGGGGATTACAAATACCGCCGTACCTTTCTCTGTTGACATCGTTTACACCTTTTTTTTCATTACATGTTCAGCATCTTTCTGAATCGAGTTGACATACTGAGATCAACTTACGATATCCGCTTCACGTTGGTCTTCTCCATCTTCAAGTGGGCATACAGGCAGGCAATCACCACCAGAGAGACGGTCAGTCGCGCGCGTAAGGGGCTGGCAAAGGTGCGGGACGAAAACCACCGCGGTCACATGACAATCAATTTGTTTTGGACCCTTTTTCACAACTTGGCCGGTGCGCTGAAGATTGCGGGGTGGATTGAAGTGGGATGGGTGCCTGTTGACAGTTGACAGCGCGATGGCTGAGAAACCCTGCTATGAATCCCTCTATGCAACGTGGCCAACCACGTTCGTCATAGACTTGCCATTTGGGGGCTCGACTCACTAATTTTAGGTGGCAAACGAATTCGTATTTCATCAGCGTCCTTTCTGGCACAGGTTCAACCCTGCAGATTTCGTCAATTGTAATTCTGCGCTGAGAGGGCGTTATCAGCATGGCCAGGGTGGAAGGATCCACAACCTAGGCAATACGATATCGCCGGAGCTTAAGCACTACAAAGCCGAGCGTGTAGCTGGACCTAGGCAACGATGAAGGCAATCAGAAGGATGAGAGGAAACAGCGCAAAAGTTCTCTGCGTGGATCTTTGCACCAAATCCAATAACAGGAATAGTGAAGACTTTACTGCCCAGATTAGTCTGTACGAATGGACCATGAGACACTGTTATCAACTAGACAATAGGGGCATTTTGATTTGTAGGTTTTCGGCTGTCCGTGACAACGAGTGAAGAAGTTCTCATACGACTCTTGCGATTGGATGACTTGGTCACACAAGCTGTAATCGAGTTAAGCACATGTCAACAACTAGGTAGTTTTCAAGTCTGTTTTGATTGCAGACTGAAGCTGCCAGCCTTCCGATGCGCTCAGTCGGGCCCTTCAACTAATATGGCTATAAAATAAATTTGGGATCGTTATAGTCTCATTCATCCGTTTTGGACTTTTCACGAAGAGTCTGGTGCAACTCAGCAACAGAGCGTCGACATAGAGCTGATAGTGGTATCTATTAGCGAGAGAGGATAGTTCTCCGGTTGCTCTGTGTTGTTGTTGTCAACTATCCCGAATATTCATTCTATCATGCAGTCTTTTAGCTCTATGTCTCTGAGATTTGCTAAAGATTTGTCTATTTTAGTCCCGATTGAATTGCTTCGACAGTTCCAACCTCCAACCACCGCGAACCCAGACTAGCAACCGCTTTGTAACGCCACCCACAGGGACCCCACCATCTTACGTGATGGGCTCGGGTTCCAAGCTTCCATCACTCGCCAAAACAAAATCTCAAATTGCCAAGCCCTCCTCAATATCGTTTTCACCGATCACGGAGGCATTGCGCTGTTTCTTTTGCCGCCGAAAGCCCACCCCGCGTGCAATAATGCAACGCCGAGCGGCCGGCCGAGATGTCGGACATGATACCCCGCATGCCCCTCCTATCTTTGCTATCTAGGCTATCACATCATCATGCAACCTCACCCCTCCTTCTCATCTTGCCACATTTTCACAATCATTGCGGCATGCGCTAAACTTACTAAGCTTTCGTTCACCAAGGTACAAGGTTGACAGGATCTCCAGTTGCGGCTGAGTTGTCAGACACACTATTCAGACGTCCCAGCAACCCAGCATGACGACTTCAAAGCATGTCGTCTTCCAGAACGGAAGGTTCTTCCGGTCAAACAAGGCGCCACCTGGACAGCGATCGGAGGCCAACTTCGCCGAGGCTCTCGTGATCAAGGACGGCCGTATCACCTTCGTCGGCGAAGCTTCAGCAAGCGAAGTCAAGAGCGCCGTTGATGCAGGAGCTGAGGTTCGCGATGTTGGCGGCCGCCACGTCCTGCCTGGTCTCCTCGACGGACACATTCACTTGACTCAGCTGGGACAGACCTTGCAGAAATTGCCTCTGGATAAGTGCAAGAGCCTGGCGGACATCAGGAAGACCATCAAAGACCATGCCGCCGCCAATCCGGACCAGGCGCGTATCTTTTGCAGTGGCTGGATGCATTTCATGACACCAGAGGGTCCCCTGGCCTCGCTCATTGACGACTTAGACCCTCGTCCAATCTTGATCACAGCAAAGGACCTGCATTCTACGTGGTGCAACAGCGCCGCTCTGAGAGAGCTGGACCTGGACAACGAGCCGGACCCTCCTGGTGGTGAAATCATGCGCGACCCCAAGACTGGCAAGCCGAGTGGACTGCTCTCGGAAGCAGCTAGTATGAAGTGGATTCCGTTGTACATGGCCAGGACCTCCACGATGGAAGATCGCATATCGGCAATAAAAACCGCTGTCAACGACTACACGAGTGCTGGATTCACTGGTCTCATCGACATGGCAATGGAAGAGGAGGGATGGGAAGCGCTGCAAAACTATCGCAAGCGGGAGAAGGAAGCCGGTCGACCGTTCCCTATTCGTTTCGCTGCCTACTGGATGATCCTGCCGAGGGACAATGATGCGGAGAACATCAAGCAGGTTGAGAGGGCTGCAGAACTCGCAAAAGAGTTCAATTTGGAAACGGACCCCGACTGCAGACTCGTGGGTATCAAGCTGGTCTGCGATGGCATCATCGACGCCTGCACAGCCTCCTTGAAGGAGCCATACAGCCACAACAACGAGAACTGCGATCCCGTCTGGTCACCGGAACACATGGGTCCCGTTGTGGAAGCAGCGACAAAATACGGCTTGCAAGTTGCGCTCCACGCCATCGGTGACCGAACAGTCGCCAACGCCATCGATGTGCTCGAGAAGTATGTCGGCCCGGAGCATCGCCCTCGTATTGAGCATCTCGAAGTTACAACCGCAGAGGACGCCAAGCGGTTGGGTAAGCTGGGCATCACGGCCTCCGTTCAGCCTGTTCACTCCGACCCTGCTATCCTCCGCGCATGGCCGAAGCTCATTGGCGAGCACCGCTGTGGACGCGCTTTCGCGTACAGCGACTTCGCCGACGGGGGAGCACCCGTGGCTATTGGTTCTGATGCGCCGACTGCGCCGCACCATATTGTCAACAACTTATACATTGCAACCACGCGAAGGTCGGCCCGTGAGCCGGAATTGGAGACGGTCGTCAACCCTCAGTTCGCGTTGTCCATGTGTGATGTTGTGGCTGGGGCCACGGAGGGGGCGGCAAGGAGTTGTTTCTTAGATGACCGTGTAGGGTCATTCGAAGTTGGTAAAAGGGCTGATTTGGCTGTATTTGATCTGGAATGGAAGCCCGAGAAAGCTCTACAGGCAAAGGCTGTAGAGACGTGGTTTGAGGGACAGCAAGTGTTTCCCGGGCAGGTTTGAGACCTAGTGGACTGATTTTGGTGTCGGGCTAGATGAGATCAGCATGGGCCACGCATGGCAGACATGCGAATGAGCTGAATGTTAGCAGGAGTTGCAATCGTACAATGCAGCATTTAGCACTAAGAACTCCATTCGCCTAAGTCGAGTTATTGCATTCTCTTCTCATCAAAACTGTCCAAGTACAAACCGAGTTACTTTGCAGCCAACCCAAGCAGGACACAGGAAAATATTACTACATCGTTATGAAGCGTCTGGCCAACCTTAGGCAAAGTTCTTCTCCATAGAAAACAAGCTACATGATGAAATGAGCCCCAACTACAGATGCTAAAGTCAGAGCAAGAATGACGCATTTGCTCACACCCAATGAACTAGACTCGCTCTTGTTGTACTGAAGCTCCTTCTTGAGAGATGTGTAATCGATCCATTCACATTTCCCCTTGAAAATGTCTTTGGTGTAGTTGAACTTTCTCCCCTCAGCTTTGAGCTCGTCTATCTTCTTCCCCGCCGCCTCTCTCACACAGTCAGGCCAATTGATCGCAATCTCCGGCTGATGAGTGAAACATGTACTAGACTGGCAGAAGCGCTGTGTCATGTAAACGTTTGACCCATTCCGGTTGCTTGGACAACAGTGCTCGAACATGTCGAAGTCTTGCCCGGGACTCACGAGGTATCCTCTGGTAAAGATGACATCGCTTCCCGTGGTGCAGACGATTGGTATTCCAAGATCGGGGGCCGGCCTCGAACACGCTTCCGGATATGCATGCCAGCGCTCTTGCAGCTAATAGTAAGAAGTCAGACGAAAGAAGTTTGGTAGGAGGGCCAAGGAGCTTGCTGAAAGTCCTCAAGTACATACGTGAGTTCGGTGACTCTCGTTGACATAGACAACTTTGTCCATTTTTTGGTTGCCGATGTTTCGTTGTTGTTCTAAGCGGGTTTCTTGTTGAGATTATTGTTCGCCGCGGCTTGTGTGATGGGGGAGAAAATTTCTGCCTTCACCGGTCTTATAGGCACCGGTCCTATCTCATATGGCCGTGAAGCGTACGCTCTCTTGCCAATGACAGGTTTTGCGATGACGTGGGAACCATAGAAATGTGTAATTTCGCTTGGGAATCATGGGCGCCGGTGTTGGTGCTGCGCCATACTTGTGTCTCATTCTAGAGGTCGCGTGGCTGTCAAACTCCTTTCTCAGTTGCATTCAGCCAACTGCTTTGGCTCCCCTCAATTGGTTGTACCTGTCATTCCCGCCTATGCCAAGTCAATCTTGGCGAGCAATTTGCCTATTCAGGCATGGCAAAAGTCCTCGACATTTACCCGACTTACATGGATCGCATGCGACACTGAGAACCGGCGGTTGGTTAATGGATAAGGGCGCCAATCAAATCGTCTTTGTCAGTCAGGTTATAGCCAAAGACGTTTGGCCCTCCTTGGGCCATGTGTGGTCCGTATTGTCTAAAGCCCATGCAGGCAGATTGAAAAGCGATACCTTTACGAACGAATCACACAACTGGCATTGTGATTTTATGCGGTTGGAATATCGGTTTCAACACAGAGCTCTTGGCAGAAGTCTTGGAAGCCTGATAAATTTGGGGGCGTCGCCTCTGCGCATCGTGAATATTTGTGTAGATCGGGTTTGGCAACTTATTCCCAAGTTTGTTCGATTCTAGGTCTAGAACTATGGACGTTTCTGTGTGCAGAACTGTGCCTTTCTGAAGCAGTAGCATGGCCGTCTTGAGACTTCGGAACGTCTCCTGGGTAGCCAAATCCAGCACCATCAGGCGATGGTAGGAATAGTTGCTGAACTTTCGCCTTTCAAAGAAGAAGGCGCAAGTAACGTTCAACATCTAGCCCGAGAGAAACCGTACTGGACACGACGGTCTAGTGCAAGACGGTGTGGAGGATGAATGGCAGGTGGGGGCTGTTGGGATACGAAAGTGCTCGTGTATTCATTGACCAGCTTTGATCCGGCGATGCTACGGAACGTAGGGCTCTGGGCTAGAAGCCAAACTGTTTTACGTGATATTAAGGCATTTAGCTAAGGAAGACTGGAGCTCCTTCATCATCAAGGCCACAAAAGTATTTAAAGGGAAGAAAATCTCGCCATGAATTACATTGAATCTGCACTCCACCGCTCCAGCTTCAACAGTTGAGTCATAGAGAACTCGTGAACCGTTCCTTCCTACACGCATAACATTGTGTTTGATTGTCTTCGTATCATACACAGAAATGTTTAACAAGCTCCTCTTGTGGTTGCGCGCAGTCGGCGGTGTATTGCCTAGAACAGGGAATGGTGTTGATCATTATACCATCTGTGGCCAGGATCGTGGGTAAGTCTGAACCCCTGCAGCTCATCTGATTACAACGATGCCAACATAAGGCTGTTCAGGTACACGGAGAAAGACTCGTTGGAGGCCGCGCAGTACCTCACAAACACCATCGTCACGTCCGATGCCTTCTTCATGGCTATGGATGATTGCATTTTCGCCCACGTCAACACAACTGTCGTCAGTCTTTGTAACGGCAACCAGCGCAACCGGACCATCAACCGTGGTGAAGTCAAACGTGGAGTTGATCAGCTCATCAAGGACTGCGGCCTCAATGGCGGCTTCACGGGCATCCATGTTGTCAACAACTTGACTTTCGCTGCCTACGGAGTCGGCGGAGTCAGCCTGACCCAACCTCCGGGTTCCAACCCTCCCGACGTTCCTGGCTCGAAGAAACCTTCCAAGAGACGGTCTCTACTTAACAAGCGTGACTGTGCGTATGCTTACGATGGCGTCCCGCACTTTGACTGTGACGCGAAGAACAAACTCAATGAGGACGGTACTTGTGGCCAAATTACTCCCGAGAACAACAAGTGTCAGGTCTTCTGTGAACTGCGAAGGACCGGCTTTCTCGGTCACGAGCAGCGGGCACCTGGCGCTGGAGGAGATCAACAACTCCCAGGAAAGGCCGTGGAGCTAGGAGCTGGCAGCGAGACCTCGATCTCCAACGGCTTCTCAATTGGCATTGAGGGCATTTTCAAGGAAGTCATAGGAGCCGGAGTGAGTTACGAATGTGAGTCCGAAGTAGCATCCCGGGACGGTACGCCTTGCACTAACAAGAAGAAGGGTCATTGACGAAGACTACGTTCGTATCTACCACCCAAACTGTATCGAATGTCAGCCCCGAACATTACACTCGTTGGGTGTTCTTCCCCAAGCTCATTGAGAGTTGCGGAACCACATCCCGCAGACAGTATTCGGCGCCCACCCCCTGCACCGGGACGCACTGTACCAGTCTTCCCGCCGACGATCCCGACTGCATTGGAGAGGTTGAGAACATTCCCAACGTGTGCTCCTTGGTCCCAAAGCTCAACCCCGAGGGTAGCCCGGAGGTACTTTGGGCTCTTCGTAAGTGGTACCGTTTGAATTACGGAACTCTGATCTTCGTTGTGCCGTTCTTCCTTCCACTGTAACTGACTTTTCCGCAGGCTATGAGCAAGCCGACGGGACCGCTTTGCCATACGATGAGCAGCATGAATCGTATAAAAGACAGTGCGTCAACAACGATCCAGACAATGACGGAGAGCAGGAGTGTTACAACCATATTCCTGCGCTCATGCTGGCCCCGAATTACGAAAAGCTCCAAGACGTTATTGGAGAAACCAGCGTGTGAAATGGTACCTAGTACACCTTCGCTGATGTACATATCATGATGAGTGCTGTGGCACTGCATTGTGGATTCCCCGAACCTTCCTGGTGTTTCGTATAGCAAATCTGTGTTAAACTTACTTTGGATCCCAAGTTCGCAAACAATGTCGGGTCTCCTGCAGCTGATTTCTGATATTTATGTACTTCTCTGCCATTACTCAAATCGCATTCATTGTAAGCCTCCAAATAAATTGGTACCACAATCAAATAAATATCTTTTTCTTTAGAACACGATTTCGATTGATCAGGTTGTGGCAATCAGCGTATCTCATAAAGCCGAGCATTGCCATGATCAGACGCGCAGTTTCAGTCTGAGGTGATGTAGGTGTGCTGGCTTATCAAAGGATTTCGACCACTGTCTGGGTTACTGTATTAAGGTATCTATTGGTCCGCACGGCCGTCAACAAGATGTGCCCGTAGACGTTACCTGCTGGGCCAAACCGTAAATGACAGTTCAGGAGGTGGAAAGACATCATTCAAGGCTGTGGCCAGCACCATCAAGACTGGGCAGCAGGGCGACGCTCAAAAACACACCTCTGCTCTCAACTTCACCCGAGCTACCTACCTCCAACTTCCTTCGCAGCAGCTGGCATAGATTTGTTGAAAGACTCGTACGTGGCCTTCATGCCGGCCTGGAGCTTCTTGATTGAATCGTGACCTCGGTAGTCGCTCCATGTGCGATCCAAAAGTCCTGGAAAACGGTTAGCGGCAGGTCTAACCCCTACCAAGTGCAGTCAGAAAAGCAGAAACACGCAACTTACCCCAAAAGTCCTCAACATCAGCTTTGCCTTCACGGATGTAGTAGCTGCCGCCCATACTCCAAACCATCCACCCAACGCTCCTCTGAACCATCAAGTCCATCAGGCACTTGTGGAACCTTTTCTCATAATCGCGCGATGTATCCGACTGATCATGGCCCCATTCGCTCATGATCAGCGGCGCCACGTTGGCTTGCCCCTTGGTCATAACGTCCGCGCCCCAACCATCGAGCATTCCGTAGTATCCTTCACAGTCATCGCTCAGACCGTGGTCGTACGCATGCAGCTCGAAAACGAACTTGTTCTTGAACGGCAGCGCCGCGATCGAGAAGTTCCATTTCGGCTCGTCGGCGTACCACCCGTTGGCGGGCGCCTCAATGTCGATGCCGCCAAGCCGGCCGCCGAAGAAGATGAGCACGTCGGGGTTGGCGGCGTGGATCGCGCTGGCGCCTTGCACCATGCGCTTCTCCCACGTCTCCCACGTTCCGGGCTCGATGGCGGGGGCGGCCGGGGGGCTGTCGTAGCTGAACCGCTCGCGTATCTCGTTGCGAAGACCGATGCTTGAAAAGGACTTCCAGTTGGCTTTGCCCTATATCCATGCGTTAGCACATTGAGCGGCATGACTAGAGCGAGGCACAACTCACATGCTCTGCCATGTAAGACAAGCTGCGAATCCAGTTGGTAGTGTTGAAGTAAGCATCGCCAAACCACCCGTTACCGTCAGCGACGTTACAGCACCATCCAGCCTTGGACATGTGGTTGTCGAGATGCAGGTAGATGTTCTGACGCGCCAGCTCATCAGCAACAGCGTTCCACACTTCAAGACGCTTGGTGCTCTCGTTGAAACTAGGGTTATTGTTGATGATCTGCTTCATGACCTTGGTGCCATTCTCCGCGCCGAGCGCCTTCTCCAGGGTCGCTCTGAGAGTGACGTCGCCTCCCCTGTCGACGATGTCGTCCACCATCTCGGTCGCGAACGTCAGGCGCACCGAGTTGAAGCCGGTCTCGGCGATCTTGGTGACGATGTTGGAGATGTTCTGGAACTGCAGGCCTTCTGGCAGCATGGCTTGCTCATGGCCGGGCCAGTTGGCGCCAACGAGCGCGACGGTGTCGTTCTTGGCGTCGAGGATGTCCCGGCCGATGACGGAGAGCGGGAGAGATTGGACACCGCGCGGCGCGAGAGACTCATAGGCCGATGTGAACGGTAGCACGAGCGCGCTTAATAGCACCGTTGCGTTGGTGGGAAGTCGGCGCATGATGGATCGCTAGAGTTTCGCGGGCAAGACTAGAACGCCTACTTTCGGCCTCAGGAGGTCCGGAGCTATGGGGGGTCTCTACAGAGGTCAAGGAACATAGAAGAGAACAGGGAAGGAATTGAGCGGATCGACGAGGAGTCCTCGTCAATGGACGTCCTATTAATTGAGGGTACTCATCCTCACATCTGTCAAGGTCCTCGCATCTCCCGCCCGGGGCCTCAACAAATAACAGCAATATTGCATCAACTCCAAGCCTTCTACCCTTGGAGCTTCAATAGAGCATGGTCTCGAACTCTTCCCCTGTGTCAAGAACCAGTCCTATAATCTTCTTTAGCTGATAATCTTCCAAAATGAGCACCGTCCGGCCGGGGAGGAGAAGCTTAGTATTGAAAAAGAGCATTCCCCCATACATCAAGGTTAGGTATTGCGGTCCGGAAAGATCCGCTCGGATGCTTACCGTGAAGGTACCATTACTTCCATGTGCTGCCGAAGCTTCGTCTGATGTGTGAGCTGGCCGTCACCGAAGACGTATCAGCATGCAGTGAGCTAGGCGTTGAACCCCGCGCATGACGGCATGGAAAGTAGGACAGGCGTTGAAGGTCAAAAAAAAAAAAGGGCCTCTGGAGAAACGGGTAGGCTAGCAGCACTAGACGAACGAATATCGTGGTTCCATCAAGGGAATGGGAGATCACAGTGGATTGCGGCCATTTGGAATCAACGGTGAAGGTTAAAGTTAGAGACGAACCCACATATAGCAGAATATCATGCAGTTAAGCAGCTTGTTTTCAATGGTGGCTGCATTGTATTGATAATTACACCAAGTGCGTAAAGTAAATACATGAAGAAAGTTTAGGTTTGGGTTATCGGAGTAGACTGTAGTCACTGTGATCCACCCTACTTCATGTTCTGAAGAAGGTAGCGGACGCCAGCGTAGGTCTCCTCACCGGTGGGAACGATCTGGCTGGCGGGCAGGACAAAGCCGTAGTTACCAGTGTCGCGCAGCTCCTGGGTGAAGGTGTAGTCGGCCTTGACGACGTCGTTCACGTAGTCGACACTGCTGCCGGTCGCCTTGTAGATGGTCGTGCAGATGGGACCGTACTGGTACGAGGTGCCGTGAACGGCCTTGATGGCGGCGACGGCGCCCTTGGCGAGAGACTGCAGCTCGGTGTTCTTGGAGGAGACGGCGGTGCACGAGTAGCCGTAGGGGGTCATGAAGAGCTGCGAGTAGGAGTGGAAGTCGATGAAGAGCTTGAGGCCCTGCGCAGCCTTGGTCTTGGACAGCCAGGCGGAGAGGGCAGCGGTCTCGGGGGCGTCGCCGGCAGAGGCGCCCTTGAAGTCCTCGGCGCAGGGGTCGGTGGAGGCGCCGCCGGTGACGGACCACTGGTAGGGCCAGTTGCGGTTGATGTCGTGGCCGAGGCAGCTGCTGCCGGAGGTGGTCTGGCGGTTCTTGCGCCACAGGCGGTTGGTGGTCTGGGTGTAGATGAAGCCGTCAGGGTTGACGACCGGGAAGACATAGAAGTCGTACTTGTCGACGAAGCCCTTGACCTCGGTGTCGGTGGAGTACTTGGTGAGCAGGTTGTAGGCGATGTACTCGTTGGTCATTGTGCCGATCCACTCGCGGGCGTGGACAGTGCCGTGGAAGACAACGGCGGGCTTGGTACCCTTGGAGCTGCCGTAGATGTGGATGCCCGTGATGGTGTTGCCTTGGAGCGAGCTGCCAGAGGTGACAATCTCGGCGTTGTTGGGGTAAGATGCCACAAGGTCCTTGAGGAACTGCAGATGGTCGGCGTACGCGTGGTACGAGTTGAACCAAGTGGTGTTGGCGGATCCAACTGGGAAAAATGTCAGTGGTAGTCCAGATGTGTGGTTGGTTCTTACAAACCGGCGTAGACTGAGAAGCTGGACTCATCAGCAATGCTGAGGCCGAGATCCTCGTGCATGGTGGTCACGTTCAATCCCGAGATCTCGGCGTTGAACTCGTCGACCTGCTCAGGCGGGACGACAATGTCGGCCAAGGCGCCGGCTCTCGGAACACCCTTCCAGGTGTTCAATTGAAGCTTGTTGATGACGCCGTTCACGCGGTCGACCTCGTCGCCTACGGACACGCGGAAAACCTTGGTGCCGTCGTAGCTCACCCGTTGGGAGCTAGCCCCCGCCACGGCGGCGGCAGAGGCGGCGGCGAAGGTGGTGGACAGGACAGCGAGCGACTTCATCTTGACAATGCGGGATATCGTCGAGAGTGCAGAGACAAGAACTTCACCAGCGCAACCGGTGCGCGGCGTCGTCTGGTTATATGGTCGTCCGCGAGACCGATGAGGGGAAGGCGGCAGAATCAACAGGGACAACAGGATCGGACCGTCGGGGATCGCCTGGGCAGTTTTTACAACCTTCCTTTTCAGGTCATGGCGACCCGCGTCGAATGCACGCCCAGCTCGTCAGATATCTTGGCTTGAGGGACAGGAGACCTGCCCGATCAAAACAAGGCGCGAGGAGACAACTCACAAAAGTCCCCGTCTGGGCAAGCGTGCAGGGTAGCTTCTGGTGCCGTGTCTAGAAGCTGGACGATCACAGCTGCCTGGCCAGCTTTTGGAGCCAGATCTGAGGGGGAAGGTCCATGACTCTACAGATAGGTAGGTTCTGGCTGGGAGATTTTCCGTCTTCTCGAGAGGGGGGAACGACCGGGGTTCAGGGAAGAAGCAATTAAGGTGCCAGCCAGCAGCCATCAGACGAGGGGCATGCAGGCGCGAGCTAATAGGCTTGCCGTTTGACCGCTGACGGGACGATTGGGGGCGCATTGAGCTTGTTGTCCAATACATCCGTCCGGTTGGCCATGGTTCTTTTGTTTCTCGTTCGACCGGCGTCACGGCTTGATTAAGCAGTTCGGGAGGGAGGCGATGATTGACTGGTAGAAACGGGGGTGGACTGGTGCAACCCAACCCAACCCCCCGCGG